CATTTGAATTTCACTGACCGTGTAGATAACGTTGCACATTTGTAGAATCCTCCAGGATTCAGTCCTGTACAGAGAACGTAAGCTGTGAATAAACCTGCTCCTGTTTTTGGCCACTTTTCATCAAAGGCACCGATTAGCAAGCAGAATACACCGGCGAAACCGACTGCTAACGTATTGAAAATCCTCATCTTGTTGGTTTCAGAATAATTGTAATCAGAACTGTCAGCGATGTGCATGTGGTTAATAGCGTTTTCATTCGATATACAATTTTGTATGAAGTGGTTCAGCAATGCCTCTCATACGGTGTGATAGAAAAAACGCTCTATCAAGTGGCACGCTTAGTTGTTTAGCCCTTCAAGTCAAATCAGGCGCTTCAAACCAATTAAGGTTTTTTTTTTTTTTCTGCCTTCATACAATTGCGCACGTTCGACCCGTTTTAACAGCGTCACGCAACAGACTCGCTAGCGTTCGCGAGTGGTCCGGCGCGTCAGCGTATAAAGAACGTATACATTATACGAAGTTATACGTTCTACCTCAACCGCCATATTCTTCAGACCTTTCGCCAACCGACTATCACCTTTTCTAACATTTTCAGAACTCCCTTGCTGGAAAATACTTCATCAATCAGGACCAGGCAAAAAAGCCTTAGTGGATTTCGTGAATTTTCGACCACCCAGTTTTTTACTTTGATGGGATTTCTCGACTGCTGTCACATTGGCAAAAGTGTGCTGATTCGAATGGTGCCTATTTCGATTAAATCCGATGAGTATTAAAAAAGTTACGATCGTTTAAAGTGAAACACCCAAAACGCTGAGAACTTTCCGGACAACCTAATATCAATTGTGTAACGTTAGCATGCATTCCATTAAACCTTCCCACATTTGACGGCTCTATCTCAAGGCTTTCTATAGTCCCTTTCTCAAATTTCGAGGATTCCCGTACTAATGAATGAAGAAGAGGGTGGAAAAAAACATAGTTCACTCGTGAAGCGCACTCGAGTGCACTCGAAGGGAAGTATTACGGTATATCGACGAGGGTTCACACGCTTAGTACGAAGGAATATTGTTCGTTGTAGCGCCTGAACTAAGGCGCAACATATCGACTTAGACACCGCAACCACCCGCTCACAAAAGAGGCGTTCACATCTATGCTGATACTCTTTAAGCTTCATTTATGAAACCACAGTTGATATGAAGAGTAGCTGTATGAATACCTGAGTACCTACCTGCGCTGTATCTACCAAAGCGGATGTTGACGCGATGGCAAAATAGCTAAACTAGAATACCTAAAAAATACCTTCTGTATACTCGTCTACCGCCGTGCAACAAAGATTTTTCGCAGGTTTTTTGGAAGTTTTACTTCACTTTTTCTGCATTTTCCCTTCTTCCCCTTGCTACTATTCACTTCCCCTGCTACTATCTGGCGAGTAATAAATTACCGTGTCTTATGCCTTTTTGTTCTTACAAAATGTGCGAAAAATTATGACAAAATGTTTCTATAAAAACTCTCTTATACATAGAACTAAACGTTCGCAGCATGTCTCTTTCATGGCTATTTCTAGAGAATTTCCAGGCCGCTGCGCTCGAAATGTCTATGGGTTCACGAACACGAAAGAAATCTGGAACCACAGACTGACTGTCTTTAAATGGAGACACTGAGCCTGGAGAATCACTTGGAATGCAATACAACCGTAGACGATCACTTCATTGGTGATGATGAAGCAAAAATAAAGGAACTTGTGCTAAATGAATATTACTCGAATATACAGTGTTTTGATAATCACAGCAACAGAACAAATAAGATACAACTGTTGACGTAATGTGACTTCGATACTTCACAGTACCTTCCTCATCCCGTAACTTCGCAACAGTCAGACACGATAAGCTTCTGAAACGCACTCTTGGTGAATTCATTTAATGCACATATGATGAAACTAGTTTCAGTTTATAGTAATTGGTGGTGAGTAGCGTTGACTATTGGAATGGTCAACACTAAACTGGTTAAGATTTGAAATGATCTAGGAATACTCACGAGCGCCTGTTCCGATCCCATGTCCATTTTGAGTGCCATATCCTCCTCGACTGCTTACGCCTCCTCCTATTCCGACTCCAGATTGTCCCACTCCATCACCAATTGAGGTCTTGTGGTGATGAAAGCTGTTTCTCGAGGAGGGCGGCTGCACAATTACGCCACTTCCAATGGATGTACCGCTTTGATGAACACCACTTCCAATAGATGACTTGGGTTGGATAACCGTCTGATGCTGAACGCCGTTTCCTATCGATCTAATTCGACGCACGGTTACACCATCGCCAATCAAACCGTTTTGTTGATGAACTCCACTTCCAATGGAG